TAGAGACGGGGTTTCACCATGTTGACCAGGATGGTCTCGATCTGTTGACCTCGTGATCCACCCGCCTCGGCCTCCCAAAGTGCTGGGATTACAGGCTTGAGCCACCGCGCCCGGCCTTTTTTTTTTTTTTAACTTTTAACTTTTTTCGGGCTCTTGACTGTAGATACTGAGAGTTGTAGTAAGAAGACCTCGGTTGCTGACACCTCAAAATTTTAAAGTTAACCCTTAAATGGCCAATGACACATAATAGTTTACAAAATATAGGCTGGGTGTGCCACAGATTAATTAAGCAATTGCCATTATCACTAGGAAAAAGAGTTTGGTGTTCTGAGGCACACATTTTATTTACCGAAATTTCATTTAGAGATCAGCTTAATTTTCAAAGTGATGAAATAATTTGCTTTCCTGGTTTTACAGTGGAGGAAAATGATTTCTTCAGTCTTCTACCAGATTCCCACTGTTTGGGAAGCTCTGTTGCCATACGGAACTTCTCTTAGAGCCCACCCTATATAGAATGATACAGCCTTCTTACACATTTTTCATGTGGTTTGAGGAAGTTATAGATGGGAAGCAATAGTAACAACATAAATCACTGCTTGTGCACACAGAGCGTGGTGTACCTCAGCCAGAAAGAAGGATTAAAGGACTGGCCTTCAGTTTTGCTTATATTAGATACAGGAACCAGGAAGGGTGTAAAATGTGAATTAGGGTCTAAACTTTAAAGCCTAAACTTTTGGTTTGTTTTCAACTTCACCAAATTTACTGAAATTAGTTTTGGTATCTCTTTAGCAAGCGATATCAAATCTGAATCTTTAATAATGGAGTTAGAAAATAAAATACAGTTATTTTTAGTTAGAATTCAGAATTTGATTTTTATATTTTACTGACTTTCAGCTTCAGTGGAATGCTACCCACAAAATGGACTTTATTACTATATAACAGTGAAACTTCTACTCTCATATTTTCTGTAATATGATTTTTCATAGTTAGGTTTTAGAAAGTATCTAATCAGATTGTGATGGTCAAGTAAAGGGTTCAAACATATTTCTGTTTTCTGTTTCAATAAATATTTTTATATTGCTTATTCTTATCTATCTTTATCTAATTTTTTCCTATTGTTTTTGTTAACTTTCTTTTCTTTATTTTCTTCTAATGAAGATTCTGCTTTCTTCATCTAAACCTGTCCCAAAAACCTATGTACCAAAACTTGGCAAGGGTGATGTAAAGGATAAGTTTGAAGCCATGCAGAGAGCCAGGGAAGAAAGAAATCAAAGGAGATCTAGAGACGAAAAGCAAAGAAGAAAAGAACAATATATTAGAGAGAGAGAATGGAACAGGAGAAAGCAGGAGGTTATTTTATTTTACTTTATTCTTGTGAAAATATTCATTTTCATTTTTTAATTTAAATTTTATTTATTCACGTTAACCACATTTCATATTAACTATAACTAAAATACTTTTCTGTATTTGTAACCTAATTTAAACTGTGCATATAATATGATTTAGTCTAATTTTTGTACATGTGCTCACATCAATTTATTTAACCATCTAGATTAAAGAAATGCTTGCTTCTGATGATGAGGAGGACGTATCTTCTAAAGTAGAAAAGGCTTATGTTCCAAAACTAACAGGTAAGAAGCTTGAGGGGTAAATTGTCAATTAAATTGCAAAATGCAAACACAGCAAAGTATCAAACTTTTTTTCATATGTTCTTAGGAACCGTTAAGGGTAGATTTGCTGAAATGGAGAAACAAAGACAAGAGGAACAAAGGAAGAGAACAGAGGAGGAACGAAAACGCAGAATTGAGCAGGATATGCTAGAAAAGAGGAAAATACAGCGTGAATTAGCGAAAAGGGCTGAGCAGGTATCACTAAAGATTAAGTTGGTATTTGTTTCTGAAACTAACTGTGCAAAGTGAAACTAATCAGTATGTTGCCTCATTAAAATATTTTAATATAACATAAACCTATTAAAAAGCAGCTAATCATCCAAGCATGGTGGCTCACACCTGTAATCTCAACACTTTGGGAGGCCAGCATAGTTGGATTGCTTCTACGTCAGCCCAGGCAACATGGCAAAATCCCTTCTCTACAAAAAATACAAAAATTAGCTGGGCATGGTGGTGAGTGCCTGTAGTCCCAGCTATTCAGAAGGCTGAGGTAGGAGGTTCGCTTGATCTTGAAAGGTGGAAGTTGCAATGAGCCAAGATCATGCCACTGCACTCCAGCCTGGGTGACAGAGCAAGACCCTGTCTCAAAGAAAAAAAAAAAGGCAGCTAACCTGAAAAGATCTTAAGGAAAAATATTTAACGTCAGATGCCTAGAAGGTTATGGGCAGAATATGCCTATTTTAAGGTAGAATAGTGAGATGATTTGTGTCATATACAATCTACTGTTCTATCCACATTCCTCACCCTATCTACATTCCTTATTTTTCTTTACAAGTTAAAGGACTGTACAAAGATGTAAGGCAATTTCACATATAAACCATCCATGAGTACCTAACAAAATGCTGGTCTTCTAATAACAGTACCTTTAAATGCTGGTATATTAGCCTGTTTTCACGCTGCTGATAAAGACATACCTGAGACTGGGAAAGAAAAGAGGTTTAACTGGACTTACAGTTCCACATGGCTGGGGAGGCCTCAAAATCATGGCAGTAGGTGAAAGCTACTTCTTACATGGCGGGGTTAAGAGAAAATGAGAAAGAGGCAAAAGTGGAAACCCTGATAAAACCATCAGATCTCATGAGACTTATTCAGTACCACAAGAACGGTATCAGGGAAACTGCCTCCATCCCCATGATTCAAATTATCTTCCACCGGGTCCCTTCCACAACACATGGGAATTATGGGAGTACAATTCAAGACAAGATTTGGGTGGGGGATACAGAGCCAAACCATATCAGCTGGTCTTTGAAAGCCATACATTAAGTGCCTTCAGTCTTTTTGCAATGCTCCCTTCGGGATTCCATTACCTTTCTGAAAAGAAAAGTGACAATGAAAGCAAAGCATATGCTATACTTGCATACTAAAGAAATGTATTTACCCTGCATTTGCAAAGGTGGGTACAGGTATGGGGTAAATACAGCTGTTTCAAATGGGAGAAATTGCCTAAAGCAAAGGCGTTACAGGGCCCACGAAAGTCTGAAATTAAGCAGGGCAATTTTTTTTTTTTTTTTTTTTTGATGGAGTTTCGCTCTTGTTACCCAGGCTGGAGTACAGTGGTGTGATCTTGGCTCACTGCAACCTCTGTCTCCCAGGTTCAAGCGATTCTCATGCCTCAGCCTTCTGAATAGCAGGGATTACAAGCATGTGCCACCATATCTGGCTAATTTTTGCATTTTTACTAGAGACGGGTTTCACCATGGTGGCCAGGCTGGTCTTGAACTCCTGACCTCAGATGATCCACCCACCTTGGCCTCCCAAAGTGGTTACAAGTGTGAGCCACTGCACCTGGCCTAGTAATTTCATCTTGTAAATATGTAAAGTTTAATTTTCAAATCTAACTAAGTACATTTTCCACTCCACTCTAATATAATTTAATGTATCTTTGAATATAAGGAGTAAAGTATGGCATATATAGTCAAAAAGAGTTTTAATATTTGTTTGCATAATTTGTATAAATCCATATTTGTTTGTATAATTTATTTGTATAAATCCATATGCAATAATGCCATAAAAAGGATTCCTGAGTCGAGGGTAGCTGAATGTCTCAGTGACCTACAGGATTTGGAGATTCTAGGCTCTTATAATGAATTAAAAACAAGAGCTGGACATGGTGACTCATGCCTGTAATCCCAGCAGTTTGGGAGGCTGAGGCAGGAGGACTGCTTGAGCCCAGGAGTTTGAGGATGCAGTGAGCTATGATCACTTCACTACACTTCCCCTGGAAACAGAGAGACATTGTCTCTTAAAAAAAAACACGCAGTGGAGGGGTGGTTAGGGATTAATAGTAGATATAGTAGGTATATTGGATGTTAGAATCAATTTGGGGAAGAATCTTGACTTGATATTATCTGGTTATCTTTGAGGATACTCTGATGAGTAGAGTTAAAGTCCATCAGCTTAGAAAAAAGAAGTTACTGGTAAGGGAAGAGAAGGAAGTGTTGAAAAGAAAAGGGAGAGAAGCAAATTGATTTGGGAAGAAGCAAAAGGAGTTTTGCTTTTTTATAAAGCAAAAGAAATAGGAAGCAGCTCTTCAATGGTAGCTTCTAAAAGTCAGCACTATAACTGAACTTCTGAATATCTGATCTCTCTAAATATACTGACACCATGGCCACTTAGATTTATCCTTCTCCTTGTTTGTTGAAAAAAATAAAAGTATTCTCCAATATTTTCTTCTTTTGGTAATGGTTAAGTGAGCAAAGAAGATGGCAAAAAAAAAAAAATCTTCAAGCATATTTTATTATTTTACAGTAAGCTAATAAGGATCTGGGTAGCAGGCTGGGCAACATAGTGAGAACTCAGCTCTTAAATACAAACAAATAAACAAACAAATAACTTAGCCAGGAGACTGTGGTGGGTGCATATAGTCCCAGCTACTTGGGAGGCTAAAGTGGGAGAATTGCTTGAACCCAGGAGGCTAAAGTGGGAGGATTGCTTGAACCCAGGAGGTTCATAATCAGGTCACTCCAACAAAAGGAAAAAAAAAAGACCTGGGTCTGGGAAGGTTGTAGCAGCAACAATAAAAGAAAGTTGGGTTAATAAATTTAGTATTTCTCTGGCCAGGCATAGTGGCTCACAACTGTAATCCAAGCACTTTGGAGGCCAACACAGGCGGATCACCTAGGTCGGGAGTTCAAGACCAGCTTGACCAACATGGTGAAAACCCCCTCTTAAAAAAAAAAAAAAAATTAGTATTTCTCTTTTCTGTATTTTCAGTGTCTGGCTTCTCACCATATCTCCTGGATCCTTTTATTTTTATTTATTTATTTATATTTTGAGATGGAGTCTTGCTCTGTAACCCAGGCTGTAGTGCAGTGGCGCGATCTCGGCTCGCTACAACCTCTGCCTCTGGGTCCTGGTTCAAGCAATTCTCCTACCTCAGCCTCTCAAGTAGCCGGGATTACAAGCACGAGCCACCATGCCCAGCTAAGTTTTGTATTTTTTAGTAGAAACAGGGTTTCACCATGTTGGCCAGTCTTGTCTTGAACTCCTGACCTCGTGATCCACCCGCCTCAACCTCCCGAAGTGCTGGGATTACAGGTGTAAGCCATTGTGCCCTGCTTATTTTTATTTTTTTAAGACAGAGTCTTGCTCTGTTGCCCAGGCTGGAGTGCAGTGGTGCAATCACAGCTCAAGTGATCCTCCTATCTCAGCCTCTTAAGTAGCTGGGACTACAGATGTGTGCCACCATGGTTGGCTAATTTTTAAAAAAAATTTTGGCCAGGTGTGGTGGCTCACACCTGTAATACCAGCACTTTGGGAGGCCGAGGCAGGTGGATTGCTTAATTAAGCTGAGGAGCTCCAAACAAACTTGGGCAATATAGCAAAACTCCATCATTACAAAAACTTAAAAAAATTAGCCAACCGTGGTGGTGCCTGTCTGTAGTCTCACCTACTTGGGAGGCTGAGGTGGGAGGATGATTGCTTGTGCTCAGGAGGCAAAGGTTGCAGTGAGCCAAGATTGCACCACTGCACTCAAGCCTGGGTGACAGAGCAAGACCCTGCTGTCTCTACAAAAAAATTTACCAAAAAAAAATTTTTTTTTTTTTTTTAGAGATGAGATCTCACTCTGTTGCCCAGGCTGGTCTCAAACTGCTGGATTCAAGAGATTCTCCCACCTTGGCCTCCCAAATTTGGGGCAATACAGACATGAACACCATGTCTAGCCTCCTGTATCTTTTTACTGAGAGATTAACAGTATTTTTAAAAAAGAGAAGTATTTTGTAACTTTTTATTATAGATCCATTAAAGATTTTAAGTACAATATATAATTCAGCAAAACTTTCATCATTTATCTAGCATGTCAGTGTTAATAAGTAATTCTATAACAAAGCAAATTATTTTAAACAAAATATAGTACACAAAATTATTCTTAATAAAACTATTAATATAAACTATTAAAGTATAAAATAGATTTATTTTTAACAAACTTTGCTCAGAATAATTTATTTTTCAATAAATTGGGTGTCTTTTTTTTTTTTTTTTTTTTTTTTTTTTTTTGGGTTTTTTTTTTTTTTTTTTTTTTTTTTTTTTTTTTTTGAGGCAGGGTCTTGCTCTGTCTCCCAGGCTAGAGTACAGTGGCAGGCTGATGGCTCACTGCAGCCTCCACCTCCTAGGCTCAAGTGATTCTCCTACCTCAGCCTCCCTAGTAGCTGGGACTACAGGCATGTGCCATGACACCCAAAAATTTTTTTTGTAGAGACAGGGTTTTGCCATGTTGCCCAGGTTGGTCTTGAACTCCTGGGCTCAATCAGCCTGCCTCAGCTTCCCAAAATGCTGGGTTTACAGACATGATCCACCATGCCTGGCCAGTTATCTTAGTAAAATGTATTATTTCTTTCTTGAGAGAAAATACAGAAAGATGTGATGATAAGCGAACAGGGACTTAGCCTCGTTCCTAGTATGAACTAGGGTACGACAAAATTCCCTTACACTGCATGAGGAGTTAATGAACTCTTTAATCAGACTCTTTCATTGGTTTTAAAAGTCAAATTAAAGCAATAAACCATGTGAATTCTTACTTTCTAATGGCTCCCATTGCTTATGTTTTCTTTTTCTGAAATCTTAAACATTGTATTATTTAAATCACCTATCTTCTCTCAATTCTCAGTTTGCTAAGAACATTACATTACTTTTCCTCTATAGCTAACCTAATGGTAGTTCTTATGAGTAATGGGTAAATTGAGCTCTCACCTTTTTTTTTTTTTTGAGATGGATTCTTGCTCTGCCTGCCTCCTGGGTTCAAGTGATTCTCCTGCCTCAGCCTTCCAAGTAGCTGGGACTACAGGCGTGTGCCACCACGTCCAGCTAGTTTTTGTATTTTTAGTAGAGACGGGGTTTCACCATTTGGCCAGTATGATCTCCATCTGTTGACCTTGTGATCTGCCTGCCTCAGCCTCCCAAAGTGCTGGGATTACAGGTGTGAGCCACCTTGCCCAGCCAAGCTCTCACTTTTTAAATGAGGAGCTTTCCTACTTGGATCTAGTCAACATATAGAGAAAATTATTTTCCCTTCTAAACTATTCTATCCCAGCTGGGCGTGGGCAGATCACTTGAGGCCAGGAGTTCGAGACCAGCCAGGCCAACATGGTGAAACCCTGTCTCTACTTAAAATACAAAAATTAGCTGGGCATGATGGTGTCCATCTGTAGTCCCAGCCACTCAGGAGGCGGAGGCAGGAGAATTGTTTGAACCTGGTACTCAGAGGTTGCAGTGAGCCGAGACTGTGTTACCGCACTCCAGTCTGGGCAACAGTGTGAGACTCTGTCTCAAATAAATAAATAAATAAATAAATAAACCAGCCTACATCTTTCACTGCACTGTTATTGTATCAGTTTTTTCCCCTATATTTATGTTGTAAAATATAATCATGACAAGTATTAGATTGCAATGGATAGGTTTTCCTTTTGCTGGGGTAGTGACAAAGAATGGAGAAGTGTTTCTGTGTGTCTTGGTTTAAATTGCTAATTAAATTAATAATTGTTGCTCGTAAGCTCAACAGCCTGGTCATAAGAGTTTGGTCTGTTATTCAGTTTCTGTGTTACAAAGGTAGGCTTTACCTTAATTTTTTATTTTATTTTTTTCTTTTTGAAATAGGGTTTCACTGTCACCCACACTGGAGTGCAATGGCGTGAACATAGTTCACTGCAGCCTTAACCTCCTGGGCTCAAGTGATCCTCCTGCCTCAGCCTCCAGAGTAGCTGGGACCACAGGTGTGTGCCACCACACCCACCTAATTTTTGTACTTTTTGTAGAGAAGGGATTTTGCTGTGTTGCCCAAGCTGGTTTTGAACTCCTGGGCTCAAGTGATCTGCCTACCTCGGCTTCCCAAGGTGTTGGGATTACAGGCTTTAGCCACTTCTTCGCCCAGCCTGATTGTTTTCTTAATATGTTTCCTGGATATTGATATTGATATTGATATCAATATGCAACCACAAATATAAAGGATATATTTGGCTTATTTGAAACAACATAAACATATTTCAAAAATTATAAATTTGAAAATTTACTATAAGTCATAACTAAATTACTTTTCAGTTGTATGTTTAAAAGCAAAAAGTAGAAATCTGATTTAATGTAATGATATGAAATTCTCATTCAATAGATTGAGGACATAAACAATACGGGAACTGAATCAACATCAGAGGTAAACGGACATTTCCTTTAATGAAACATTCACCTAAAATTATCTGATTCACAAATTATCTTTTAGTATAAGAAAAAATTAAAAGGGCTTTTATTATTTTTATTATAAATATAGCAATAACAAAAAAGTATGTTCTGCAAAGCAAGATCATACTTTTGCACTTTCAAACACCATAGCTTAGTGTTTTTAAAGAAAAGTATGTTTTGTTTTCATAGTTAGGTTAGAAAGACAAGTCTTACTAGTCTAAGTTTGAGATACTCTGCCAAGACAACATATTTTTTGAACTGTTACTAACAGCTGTGATTGTTGAAAGCTAACATTTATAAAAAGGCAATTTTATTTTCATCATTTGTCTTCTTTCCTCAGAGGTCCTGAGAGTTTATGTTTTGGTTTTCCTTTAATAGCATAAAGTGCAGTGTCTGTTTCCATGAAGAAATGTTCAACAACCACAAAAATTTTAGTCATTCCTTTTATCTAACAGAGTAAGTTAAAAATCTTTCAATTTGATGGTGTGCCTAAAACTACAGCCCATAAATTGGGCGCAATTTTATCTCAGGGCCACGTGTTTCATTTCATAACTCTTCTTAGTTTTTAGAAAAGTCAGAGGCAACAATAGATTTTATAATTAAAATAAATTAAGTAATAAATATAAAATATTTTAATATAATCAAATGCCAGAGAGTTTTATCTATTATATAAATCACTTGGAAATACTGTGTTTTTTCACACTAAATATTAGTTTTATTAAGTATTTAAAAGCTTACATAGAGAAAAAAATCATATGAAGAAACCTTTTTGGGGTTTAAACTCAATTGATCCACCATCAAATTGATTTAGAGTACATTCACATGCACATTTTGTGAATTAGTGCACAAATAGCTTAATTCAGGCAACACCACTGCAGTTTCGTTTTCTGAACAGCTGTATTAACTCCATCTTTTAGGAAATAGAATACTTCTTGAACCTCGTCAGCAATGGATTTCAGTAAGATTAACTCATAATGCACAAATAATTTAGATGAGATATTTAACAATAATCTGAAAAAATTGTTTGTTCTTCATAATAACATTGATGACAATGCAATGGAATTCACCTATTATGGAGCTAAAGTCCCATGAAACCCAATTTTGATTAAGAAGAAATATACTAATTATCTATTTTATAAAATAGGAAGGAGATGATTCACTACTTATAACTGTGGTACCTGTCAAATCATATAAAACACCTGGAAAAATGAAAAAGAATTTTGAGGATCTAGAAAAAGAACATGAAGCGAAAGAAGGGATCAAGTATGAGGAAGATAAAAGAATAAGATATGAAGAACAACAACGATCTCTCAAGGAAGCAAAGTGTCTTTCATTGGTCATGGTAATTTTTTTTTTTTTTTTTTAAGAAACAAATCAAGGCAGTTGAGTTAAGTTAGCAGCATTTTCCTTTATGACTAAAAGGTGGATTTTCATAATGTTTTCTTAGGATGATGAAATAGAAAGTGAAGCAAAAAAAGAATCACTTTCTCCTGGAAAGTTGAAACTAACTTTTGAAGAATTGGAGCGACAAAGACAAGAAAACCGGAAGAAGCAAGCTGAAGAGGAAGCAAGAAAACGTTTAGAAGAAGAGAAGCGTGCTTTTGAAGAAGCAAGGCGGCAAATGGTAAATCTATATATTTAAACCTTACAATTAATATTAATGAAGGTAGCTGGCTTTAGATAAGTTTCATTACTCTAAATTCAAAGAGATTTTTATATATAGAAGGGCTGATTTTCATTTTTTTTTTTTTTAAAGATGGGGTTTCACCATGTTGGTCAGGCTGGTCTCAAACTTCTGACCTCAGGTGATCCACTCGCCTAGTCCTCCCAAAGTGCTGGGATTGCAGGCGTGAGCCACTGCACCAGGCAGAGGGGCTGATTTTCAAATTGTATACATATTCCATATGTAAAATACCTCCAGGCCAGGCACGGTGGCTCACGCTTACAATCCCTGCTCTTTGGGAGGCCAAGGCAGGCAGATCACCTGAGGTTGGGAGTTTGAAATCAGCCTGGCCAACATGGTAAGATCACATCTCTACTAAAAATACAAAAATTAGCCAGCTGTGGTGGTGCATGCCTGTAATCCCAGCTACATGGGAGGCTGAGACATGCGAATCACTTAAACCCAGGTGATGGAGGTTGCAGTGAGCCGAGATCATACTATTGCATTCTAGCCTGGGTGACAGAGTGAGACTGTGTCCAAAAAAAAAAAAAAAAAAATCTGTACTGTTTTCCAGTTACAACTCTGGGGCATTTTACCCAATATGCTTTAAATTTTTATTTTATAAATTTTTATTAATATATAAATATGCAAAATAATTACTCAATGAACCTGGTTTCCTTCATTTGTCAGTTAAATCTGTGATGTACTTCATAACATGGTTGCAGTACATTTTCAAATCTGATTATAAGTGTAAACCTGGCCTCAGCAGTCCAGTTTTTTAATTGTTTGAACATATCAAAATAACAGTTTACCAATGAGAACACATGGACACAGGGAGGGGAGCACTACACACTGGGGTCTGTTGGGGGGAAATGGGGGAGGGTCGGGGGGGTGGGGAGTTAGGGAGAGATAGCATGGGGAGAAATGCCAGATATAGGTGATGGGGAGGAAGGCGGGGGGGGGGGGAGGTGGGGAGAGATAGCATGGGGAGAAATGCCAGATATAGGTGAAGGGGAGGAAGGCAGCAAATCACACTGCCATGTGTGTACCTATGCAACAATCTTGCATGTTTTTCACATGTACCTCAAAACCTAAAATGCAATAAAAAATTAAAAAATTAAAAAAACAGTAGCAAGTAATAGTGAAATTAATAAAGCAAGCATTCAACACAAGAAATGAGAAANAGGGGAGGAAGGCAGCAAATCACACTGCCATGTGTGTACCTATGCAACAATCTTGCATGTTCTTCACATGTACCCCAAAACCTAAAATGCAATTAAAAAAAAAAAGAAAGAAAAACTCTACCTATAACCTGGAAGCCCCTGTCACAAATTATCCTGCTTTTCCAGCTTGAACCAATATACATCTCACGTGTATTGACTGATTGATGTCTAGCTAAAAAATATAAAAGCAAGCTGTACCCCAACCACCTTGGGCACATGTCACCAGGATCTCCTGAGGCTGTGTCACAGGCTTGTCCTTAACCTTGGCAAAATACACTTCCTAAATTGAAAAAAATAAAAATAAAAATAAATAACAGTTTACTATGGAATATGGTTTACCTTATAAAGTGTATGTGTGTGTGTCTGTATTTGTATGCATGCCTTTGTGTGTGTATGTGTGTGTGTGTATGTGTGGTGTGGTGGTTAAGAGCATGGATTGTGCAGCCAGATTGTCTAGATTCAGATATCAGCCATTGTGTAACCATGGACAAGTATTTTAATCTTTCGCTGTGTTAAGTAATTAAATCTCTCTCTCTTAGTTTCTTCATTTGTAAAATGGTAAAAATGAAAGTGCCTACTTTTTTTTTTTTAACTTCCATAATGACTTGGATTATTTTTAATGCCTATTTCTTAAATGGTTAAACGAGTTAATATCTAGGAAGCACTTAAAATGGTGTTTGTCATATATACTAAGTTCTTGGAAATTTTAAATTATTTTTATGGTATTAATAAATTTATCAATAAAAAGTAAAATTAAAATAAGAAAACAGTGATTCCAAACCTCATTTTAAGATTTAAAAATGGGCCAGCCATGGTGGCTCATGCCTATAATCTCAGTACTTTGGAAGGCTGAGGCAGGCAGATCGTTTGAGCCCAAGAGTTCCAGACCGGCCTGAGCAACATGTGGAAACTATGTCTCTACAAAAACAAATACAAAAATTAGCCAGGTACACGTCTGTAGTCTAAGCTCCCCAGGGTCTGAGGTGAGAGGATTGCTATGGTGAGGATTGCTATGAATGAGCCACTGGACTCTACCCTTGGTGACAGAGTGAGACCCTGTCTCAAAAAAAAAAAAAAATCTAAAAATGGAATATTTATAATTTTAAAGTTACAGAGCTTTCTTGATCAGCTTTCTTGAATGATGTTCTAAGAATTATATATCAAAAAATTTAATTTTCTAAACATTTGAAAATGTTATCACTCTTGGGTATAGCGGCATAATATCTACACATTTTAGATTATTTCTGGTGGACAATTTAATAAAGAAATAGTATTATTAAATTAATACATTTCAGTTAATATTATAATTAACTTAATAATAAATTAAAACTTTAATGATAAAATCATAAAACTTGAATTTTATATAAAATAGTTCTTAGATAATCTTTCATCTTAGTATAAGGCACCATAGTTCACAGTAAAAAAAAAAAACTACATAAATTACAAAATGAGAACTTTATTTTACTACCAAAGTGATTCTGTGTAAATATACTTGAACCCCAATTTAAGTATACACATTTACATTTTATATTTGTTCTGGGAAAGTTAACAGTCAATAGTAACCCCTCATTGCAGCCTCAACCTAATGGGCTCAAGTGATCCTCCCACCTCAGCTATCCGAGTAACTGGGACTACGGGCACATCACCACGCCCGGCTATAATGTGTTTTTTTGTTTTATGTGAGATGAGGTCTTGCTATGTTGCCCAGACTGGTCTTGAACTCTTAGGCTTATGTGATCCTTCTGCCTCCTAAAGTTCTAGAATTACAGGTGTGAGCCACCACACCAGGCTAAAAATGTTTAAACATTCAATTTTATCTATAGAAATTTGACTTACTTGAAAGTTTTAACTTGAGCACATCTTTATATGGAATTTCTTCATATTTGAATATTTTATCATATAAGACATCTTTAAAAAGGAAGGGGATTTTCGTCAAGTATATTAAGGGCATTGAAACAGTCCTGTGTGAAGTGGCTAATTCTGTGCCTTTTGATTGATAATTCATTCCATTTTCTGATGAATCTCAATTCTTAGTAATGAATTGTTTATTTGATTAGGTAAATGAAGAAGAGGAAAACCAAGACACAGGAAAAATTTTTAAAGAGTACCGCCCTGGTAAACTCAAACTTAGTTTTGAAGAAATAGAAAGGCAAAGGAGAGAAGATGAAAAAAGGAAAGCAGAAGAAGAAGCCAGAAGGAGAATACAGGAAGAAAAGAAGGCATTTGCTGAAGCAAGGAGAAACATGGTAAGACAGAAGCTAACTGGAGAATGCTATTAGAACTCAGCTTTGAGAGTATGTTAACAGAAATCATTAGGCTTTAGAGAATACCATATTATTTCTGGAATCTGTGCCAAGAGCAGAAATGTTTTAAAGTCTCCCATGGAATAACACCAGCTGGTTGAAGGTATTTGCTTCAATTTAATGTTTAGAAAATTCGGATTAAATTACCATGCTTGGCACAAAAGATTGAACACAATCTCCCTTCTCTGGGAAGCCATGTTTTCCGGAACTAAGTATCCAAGGAAGAAGTAGGGAGTTTCCTCCCCCCACTTTTCCTTTTTTCCTCTCCATTCTTTCCCCACCTCCTTCCCACCCTCCCTTTTTCCCTCCTTCATTCTTTTATTTCCTTCCTTTCCTTCTTTCTTTTCAATTTTCATCCCACCCACTATATATTAAATGACCAGAGTCATTTAATCAGAATTATTTCTCTCTCCAAAATGCTCACTCATCACTATTGGAAATTGGGACCTAACTTAACTGTCACAAGGTTATGACTGTACTTGCTTTACCAGTTTTATGTTTGTAAAATGCACAGTTATCTGACCAATGATTCTCAAGCAGTTTGAGACTTGAGCACTCCATCTCCTTCTTGAAACATTGTAATTGGCTTCGGTGATATCATAACCTAGTTTTCTTCCTCTGCATGGGTGAGCTTCAGACACATATATCCAAGTGTTTATTTGGTTTTATCGCCTATCGCCTACACAGATACTCAGATCAGAAACCTGGAAGCCTGAAACACTTCCATCTTCTTATTCATGCCTGTCCTACAACCAGTCACTAAGTCTCATTTATTCTACCTTCTAAATCACTCTAAAATCTATCCGTTTTTTTCCCCATTTTCCACTGCCACTACTATAATCCAAGTTATTGTTAGGGCCAACTCCTAATTAATTTGCTTTCTTACCTGTAACCCATTCTTTCCTATAAGGCCAGGAGTAATCTTTAAAAAGAAAGAAATAAATTTTGATTGTGTTTTATTACTGTTTTGCTTAATATTTTCCCACTTGCCTTAAGCAAAAATCCAAAAACTTCTAAAACAAATTTCTTTATAGTCTTGCTCTTATATGTTGCTCCCGTTTCATTTCTTGATTCTTCCTTAATCTGCTTTTTGTTCCAAATATGCTGAATTTGTTTGCATTTCTTCAAAGTGAGAATCTCTCAGCCTTCACACTGAAACATATCCCTCACTCTTTTCACCATGCTCTGCCAACTCCAGTTCACAACTTTCCACCTTCTTCCATGAATTCTTACAGCATTTAGTACTCTTCTCTCATAGCACTAATCCTGTATTGTTATAGTTATGGCTGTCTTTTCCACTCCATGAGGCCAAGACTGTTCATCAAACATGTGGTACAATGCCAAGCATAACAGACATCCAGTAAATGTTGATGGAACAAGTGATATTGAAATCTTGGGTGCCGTAGGTAATCCCTGATTCATATATGGTTTCTACATAGAAATCCTACAGACATTGTGAATGCACTTAATTTTTGGAAAATAAGCAGGTTTAGAAGCGGTAGAAGAGAAGTAACTGTGAAGATTAAAAGATCTAGTCCTGGGGGCAGATTTGTAGGCCCAAACTGCCTTTTTACCATGATTCACTAGTGGAAAAAATGCAGGGGAGAAAAATGCATTCAACCAAAACCGAGTTTCCTATAGACATTTCTCTATCAAGAGAAGAGAGAAAAACTTCTTCTTTCATTTATATTGTTTTCTTATCCACGAATAAGTATTGTCATTTATCCAGGAATAAGTATTATAATTTCATACTACAGCTTAGTTCATGCATATATAAAATTTAAAAATTTCAGGCAATCTTTGAATTGTAAACCACTTAAACGTTGTTTCTGAGTTGAAATAGTTCTGTGGTAAACCCTGGATTGCCTTAATAAAACTTGGAGCAAATGAATAGTACCCCTTGCCTCTCTCATTCCCCTATGTCTATTTCAACCACGGGGTCACAGTTCAGGGCAGAGGTTTATGCTATACCGTGCCTGGCCTATAATTTTTTTTTTTGAGATGGAGTCTCACTCTGTCGCCGAGGCTGGAGTGTAGTGGTGTGATCTCGGCTCACTGCAACCTCTGCCTCTTGGGTTCAAGCAGTTCTCCTGCCTCAGCCTCTTGAGTAGCTGGAATTACAGGTGCCAGCCACCACAGCTGGCTAAGTTTTGTATTTTTAGTAGAGATAGGGCTTCACCATATTGGTCAGGCTGGTCTCGAACTCCTGACCTCGTGATCTGCCCATCTCAGCCTCCCAAAGTGGTGAGATTACAGGTGTGAGCCACCTTGCTTCACCTATAATCTTATTAGAAAGATTTTGAAGTTTGAATCCCAGCTTTGCCACATAGTATTTGTGTTGACTTTAGACAATTACTTTTCAGTGCCTCAGTTTCCTTGTCTGTAAAATGAGGATATTAGTAATTACTACTTCATAGGGTTATAGGATTAAATAAACACATGTAAAGTGCTTATAACTGTACTCGGCAGCTCTAAGTATTAAATATTATTATTTTCTTTCTTTTTTTTTTTTTTTTGAGACTGAGTCTTGCTCTTGTCACCCAGACTGGAGTGCAATGGCATGATCTTGGCTCACTGCAATCTCCGCCTCCTGGGTTCAAGTAATTCTGCTGCCTCAACCTACCGAGTAGCTGGGATTACAGCCGCCTGCCACCATGCCTGGCTAATTTATGTGTTTTTAATAGAGACAGGATTTCACTATGTTGGCCAGGCTGGTCTCAAACTCCTGACCTCGTGATCTACCCACCTTGGACTCCCAAAGTGCTGGGATTATAGGCGTAAAGTGCTGGGATTACAGGTGTGAGCCACCATACCTGGCCTTATTATTTCTTTGAAATTAGCCTGACAGCAAATAAACAATAAACTCATAGCACTGAGAGTGATTTTTGCCTGATTATGAAGAGATTGTGATGGGTTATGTAATTCAATCAGACAAAATCATAATTAACTGAAATTAACTCTCCAGAATGGAGAGTTATTTTAATCCAATTAAAAAATGTTCTCAAATTTGGAAATCTTAATGTCTAATTCAAAGTACTCATTATGAATAAAGTATTTCTTTGTCTCCATTGTAATGGAGAATAGATGGTTACCATTTCCTTCATAACCACAAAATATTTCAGTCTTACATTTTCTAATTCTTCCCCTTTTTTTTGAACACTGTGTTGAGACTTCCTCGTTTATTGTTAAATCCTCTTGTTCTTTCTTCAATGTGAAACCTCTCTATTTAAGAAATCCCAGTTTCGGGCCAGGCACGGTGGCTCAAGCCTGTAATCCCAGCACTTTGGGAGGCCGAGGCGGGTGGATCACGAGGTCAACAGATCGAGACCATCCTGGTCAACATGGTGAAACCCCGTCTCTACTAAAAATACAAAAAATGAGCTGGGCATGGTGGTGCTTGCCTGTAATCCCAGCTACTCAGGAGGCTGAGG